TTTGAACCACCAGTGGCAATCAGAACCACAATAACAATCCAGAGAAGAAGAAACACTGAAGATAATCAAGTAGGCAGGAGAAGAAGAATAGGATGAAGATTTTTCTTAAGATTTTCATGAAGTTGAACTGCAAATTTTGTGGTTACCATCTGCATATCCCCTAGACTGAAAAAAATAGTGTCTTAATTGCATGAGAATATTTTTTTGTACAAAATATTTGGAAATACACCCTAGAAGAGTTCAGTGATTTAATTTTGTGATTTTATTTTTAAAAGCCTTTGAACTTTTGAAAAGGTAAGGGAATTGAGGGAAAGATTACAAAACACARTATCAATGATTATGCTTGGAGTTACATAATAGAAATATCTTATGGAAGTTATTTTAGGTTTCATATCAAATAGAAAAAAATGCACACAACTACTGCATGTAATTTTAGAAAGACAAATATAATCCTAATAGAAAATTACTGGTTAGCTAGTGTGAGACTAACTATGCTTTTACATTTTAAAACGGGTTCAAAAATGCAGGGRTGAATTAAAGACATATTAAATATTATACATTCTGTATTATTTATACTATGTAATATAGATATAAGCTTACTGGTTTTGATTTTACTGAGATAGACTTAAAGGCTCAGAGTGCATAGGCTCATACTGCATGCAAGCAAGTTATCTGAGAATCACAACTCAAATCCTAATTGATTTTGAAAATGCCTARAAAGATAAAAACAGCAAGCAATTTTACTGGGCTTCTTATGCCTATATCATATCAGCATGAAAGTAAAGGATGTTTCAAAATTTTGATAAAGTTGTCTATCATCCCAGAATATTTCTGGTACCTTCCTTTAAACAAACTAAAGCGCCACTTCTTTATGATATCATCTCTGTTCAGAATAATCCCACAGAAAATCCAGTAACAGAAATGTGATACAAAGGTCCAGTAAATTAAAAACAGTTAATTTACTGCAGGATTAAATTATTTTTTATGTTATTCATATGTTTCAATGAAACCATTTTCATTGTACTAATTGTCAATGAATTAAACAAGACATCCATATCGGTTTCTTGTAATCCTTCAGGATTGATTAGGGCCCTTGTCCAGTCTGATGGGCATCCAGAGGGCTATATCTATATCTATATCTATATCTATATCTATATCTATATCTATATCTATATCTATATCTATATCTATCTATCTATATCTAAAGCCTATTTGTGAACTCGTAAGTGCAACTTGGACTTCTGATCACCTACCATTCTCTCTGCTTTTCTTAATAAGCAGTATTGCCTCCATAACACAGAGACACTTGTTTTTGTGAACAGTTTCCTCACAGTGTTGTAACCAAGCCCATACCTTTTGAAAGAAAAACAAAAACCCAAATTTACATAAACACTTCATTTTGTTCTAATGATATAGGAAACTTATCTTTCTAAATGATTTTTTTAAATCAACATTCTTTACACTAACTCTTTTTTTCTGTATTTTCTCTCTCCACACTTCCTTTTCATCACGACTTCATGATGAGGTGCCCTTCCCAACCACTAGGGTACCAGACACTGTTTTTCTTTACATATCCAATTGATTTAAATCAACAGACACATTGTCTTAGTCCCTCAAGTACTGAAGTTTTAAGTTTTCTGTTCTGCAAACACAACATAAACACAAACAATATCGTATTTATGTCGCTAGGTACTCAAATGTAGTTGTATCTTGGAGAAAATATCTCTTAGAAGCAAGCTGCATATATTAGCCAATTCAGTTGGAGGCCTCCCTACTGAGACAATCAATCATTGGAACCAACGCAACATTGACTTTCTGCAATGTGAACACTTACCCATTGAGCACTGTTCTGAGAACAGTAAGTTATTGTCCAGAAAACTGCTGATCTGTGCTTTTTGACCTACAGCTACTCAGCACACATACTGGCTGGGCAATTAGCAAACGTGAAGCTCAGAAACAGCTAAAATCCTGTCCAACTGACAGGGAACATGGAAGAGAGATGGACATTTGGAGAGGTTTGATAAACGATAGGGGAGAAAGGGATCTGAAAATGCCAGGGATGATGAAATATTTTTTTTTGATTGCTCCTAAATACTTTCTTAGCACTCTGCACATCTTTAAATATTTATGTACGAGGGACAGATAGACAATTTATTAAATTATTAGATTATCATGCAGTTTTGGGCTTTTTTCTTCAGTTTGTAAAAATAACTGTAATTTTTTAAAAGCTGATTTTAAAAAATTCATTTCAAAAAGTGGCATTTCAGGCCAATATTAATTTCCTATTTAATTTACATACCAAAGAAATGAAAAAATGCATTAAGAAAATTTAACATAACACCTGATCATTGCCATCCACATTCTTCATGGAATGGAAAATATTCCTTTTTTTCTACTGTACATTCCAAGGGCAGTATTTGCAGAGTTTTTTTGCTCTTCAAATTTACAATTTGTGACAGCACATTGTCAAAAAGTTCACTAAAATGATTGCTCACTTGCATGCCAAAATGCCAGAATTTAAATGAACTTTCTATCTCTTTTTTTTTCTGTCCAAGTGCTTTCATGCATAGATTTTAGAAACTGAATAATATGATAACTGAATAATATAATAATATGTTTTGCAATAACATTACACCTGTGTTTCTAATTCTAATRTTTTCAGCACACAGTATTTTGACTGATCTGAGTAAAGTGCACTCAACAAAAAGTGATCAGTTAAAACTTCATTCTTAACATTTAGAGACAAGAAAAAGTTAAAACATTTTTTCCATATTATTGGAACAGTCATGCCATTCAAACAAAATGAGAAGACTACTTTTGATCTCTGCTACACAAAAAAAGAAAAAAGAGCAGGGAGAAGATGTTCACAAAACTGGTAGTGAATAGAGTTAATTACACTATTGTCACTGGTCAGATAAGTCTGAAGGATAAAAGTAGATCCGTGTAACACCGAAGTCCTGAGATTGTTACTATTTTATGGTTAAGTGCTTACTTCACAAAGATTTGTCAATTCAGGTCTAAATACCTTTTTTAACAACAAACCTCAAAGAGTATGGAGCTTGAAGATTGCTGACAATAGAGAATAGAGAATGCTCTATTTCTGATAAGTGCAGCAGGACAGTTACTTGGCTGCTCTTCTTGTATGTAACATTGAACAACAAATGGATAAAGCAAGTCACTGGAATTTAGAGATTTGAAGAATCTGTGAAGATCTATGAATATAGTTTTATAAAGCTGAGGGTTCAAGCTTCACACAAGTCCTTCAGACTCTGGGGAAGTATCAGTTCTTCTGTCACATTCCTTCTGAATAAGTTTTGCCCGAAACATACCAATAATTCTCGTACTCAGAGAATTAATGGCCGGAGCTGGATAGTCACTGAGGCCMGGAATATCCTGCGGTGTGCAGATAACATAGCATAAAGCTTCTGAAATGCATCAAAGTGCCTCTGTGTAATACAAATTTGCCTCAAACTGCCACAAAACCTGTCAGATGAGTGTTTAAGAGAGAACTACAAAAAACATTTTTAGTACAATGGCCAGCAGCTCACTCAGTAGCAATGTAATACAGACCACAGACCCTTCAGTGCTATTTATCATTACAGTGTGTAACATATCAGATATTTGACCAGTCTGGATCAGAAGCAGAATAAATTTGAGGATCTCATTGGTCTTTTCCATTTTCTGCTCGTGCAAACCTACAATCCAAACACAAATCTCACGTGGCTATGCTTCTAGTAAGAGGCAGCACAGAATTTCAAATACTTTCCTCACAGTGATGCTTTTATCTCTCAAAGATAAATGTTGAAGGCTTTGTACTTTCCTCAGTTAGGGAAAATATTATTTATTTATTTATTTATTTATACTTTTTGCACACAAAATATCCGTATTTGTTAAGTGAATTAAAACTTCAAAACAAAAGTGCAGTTTTATGATACTTCCATTTCATCCTGAAATCTGCTGTCTTGTAGAAAAACTGAAGTAAATTTCCTTGCATAATTTTTTTACCAGTTTAGGCTGTGTTCTTTTTGAAATAATGTCTATAAAATTAAAACTGAACAAACAAACAGAAGCAAAATTCCACTTGAATTATAAACATATAAACAATAAATTTACATAAGTAATTTTTAATTATAAAATTTCTCTTCCAACAACAAGAAAAACAATAGTAACAGAAAGAATTAATCTGTGTTTAATTCTGCTTGTGTGATGCATATGGTGCAAGCCTGATTAATTTTTCAACATGTCTCAATGAGGAAATCTGTTAAGGTTCTGTTACTGTTCTTAACAGAGATCCTCAGTTTGTACAGAACTATATATACTATCCATACTATATATATATAAATATATAKAGAGAATATACATTATTTATATATTTWTATATATATATATTTGGTATATTTTACATCTATAAATATATAAAAACATACATGATACCTATAATTAATATGTATTTAATATTAATTACATATAAGTCTGAATTACATACAGTCTGAATACAAGATACAGACTATCTATATTTAGAACACATATTTTGTAACTAGACTATATAATCTACATTATGGTCTGTCATACCGATAAATGAACATAAAATCTAAATCTATGAGTTCTTAAATAAACAGCCCTACTGCATCTTTAGGCAGTTGGCTTCTGATATGTTCAGATACAATCAAAATACTTTCTAGATGAGTCTATGTATGTTGAATGCCCATCCAAATGTAACTGACAATCTACCATGCTCCATTTTTTTTGCAAACTTTTCATTTCTTTTGTGAAATATTTCACATATGTATTTCTCCGAATTACTTGTAGATGAACCTAGGAAAAAAGAATGGACAGCAAAAAAAATGCACTATTGAAATAAATATCTCAAATACAGGAACCATTTCCAAGAAAAGTTTAACAAATTTTCTTGTACATTATTACTGTTGTAAATCATAACAGAAGATATTTTTAAACATGGTAACATGACAACATATTATTAAAAGATTTCAAAAAATCTAAGAAAATATAAGCTTGAAAACTGTAATTTTGTTAACTCCTACACAGAGACAGGAATTTTCCTTAGAATATATTTAGTTAGTAGGCATACATATAATTTCACAGGACTAACATATGGAGAAAATACAGCTTTCTGCAGTAAAGATTCAGGAAGGAATAAAAACCTTTAAACTAACCAAATGTATCAAGATAGTGAATGATACTGATATGCTAATATTACTATTAATTAAATACTTAATTGTCATATAAGGTTTCAACCAGTTGTTCATCTGACTAACAAAGGWGTTCCACTCCTCTGATACTCTTCATAAGTAAATTCTTTCTGCAATGCAACTCATTCTTTCTGCAGGAATCTGGGGATAAGAACAGTAGTAAAAACACCTATCTATACATATTACATTTCTTATTCTTAGTTTAGAACTGTAAAWTAATTATGTTTAATGCACAGTGATATTAAATTATACCACAGACAAGAAGGCAGTTTCACTATGCTTCATTTCGGCTGCAATTTTTTTTCAACAGATATGTCATACTAAATTATTTAATTCTATCATGATTTCTTGAAACAAAACTTAATTGGTGTTCTGAATTACAATCAAGACAATAACTTGCTACATACAGTTGTTCAGAAGAAGGAAGAATTGCTCTCCCACCTTTTCAATATCCAACTTTTTCACAGCTTTGTAAACTGTACTTTCGATTTCACCTCCTACTTTATGAAGCTGGAGTCCCAAAAGGTTTGTCAAGGTAGTACCATCTGCTACTAAAAACTTCACCTGTTAAAAAAGGACAACACAGGACAAAGTAAACAAGAAAACACATTCAAGTTTACAATAAAGTATCCAAATGAAATCTAAACATACAGTATGTACTATGTACCACATACAAAGAAGTAATCGGCAAGTTTATTTGAACATCTGCCATCAAATTTGAYGAAATCCACAGACAGTGTTTTTACTCTGGAAATCTTTATATTTATTATATTTTGTTACTACTTCGGAATATCGGTTTAATTTTTTGAATTGCAGATTTTTAATCAAGATATTGAAAAGATTTACCACAGTCAATCCTGATTTTTTTCCACTCCCCCCTCTCAAAAAGGGGGAAAAAAAAAAACTAGAACTGTTTAGGAACTTTCTGCATTAGAAATAATTTCAAATGGCTTTTCATTAAAATTGTGTGTGCAAATAATGCTTGGCACACTAGAACAGAAACATCCTACTATGTTCACTCTTTCTATATTTATCATGGTAATATAAAGAGGGGCAATAAAAACACCAGCAAGTGATAAGCCTGACACAAGCCTTCAGCAACTTTTCTGCCCCATGCCCTGGTCTGCTACACTGAGCAATGCAAACACAGAAGCTGCTCTGACCTTCCCCTTGCTCTTCCCATTCTTATCATATCTTAAGTCTGTGGTATTGCATGCAGCAAATGACTGAGTGGAGTCTCAACATTTTGAAGCAATTTAAGTGAAGAGACCTACTGTAGGCTTGATTCTTCTCTTGCAGCAACACTAGTGGGGTATATAGTGAAACTTATTTACTTCAAAATGAAATGAATGTGTAATGAAGAAGATAAGTCTTATCCATTAGGTTCAAGACTTTCTACCCTGCATACACTGAGCTATCTGTGAATCACAGCATTCCTTTAGGGACCTGCAAACAGGCTGAGGGCCTTAGTTCTTATTTTTGCTTCAAATTTCTCTCTTCCTCTTTGTCTTCTGTAGGACTACTGTATAAAAGACACTGTAAGTATTTCRAGCACAGAAAGCATCTTCTCTTTAAAAATATCTTTGCTGAACCTCCCAACACTATGGAACTATGTCCAAGAGCACAGCAGAGAAGCCTCTGCAAATCCCACTTGTCTATAAAACTAATGACTTTCATGTTGCAGGGTCTGACATAAAATCCTACCCTCCTTATTCTTTTATATACTGCCTCAATTCAGAGAAGTGACAGCCTGGTTTTACCATGTATCTCCACAGAGACTGAAAACTCAGCCAGAAGAATAAAATTTTAAAGAAGAGCTCCCAAACCAAAACACATTCCTGAATATTCAGTTTGAACATGAGCAACAAATCCACTGAAACATCAAAGTGGGTGGGAAGAGAGAGAAAGGGGTGGCATCAAGACAGATAAATTGTAGRCACAGTCAGCTATGGAACCTGCCTTGGCAAACCTTCGAGTTCTATATCCATCTGTTTCACATTAATCTGTCTCCACTGGGTTTTAGTCCAATCACCACTGCTGCTCTGAAACAGAAAGTACAAATAAAAGTGTCAACAACATTTGGTAAAAACAAGCTTTTGCTATATAACAGATAAATGGATGCAAGGGGTTGGCCTAACATGAGGCAATAGAAGTTCTTTGTCCTTGAATCATTATTTTTTTCCAARTCTTACACCACCACTGGCTAGAAAGCATACCAAATAATTCACCTWCTCAAAAGCTAAATCAAAATCCAAGCTTTTACCTATTTCATAGCTAACTGTTGATAGTGCTCTTCCCAGGCAACAGACATGCTATGCAAAATACTATGCGAAAAAAATCAAATATGCAGATTCTTAATTTGCCTATGAAAAAATACTTCTTGAGATTAACAGAACTTTATAATACTGATTTATCATACAGCTTCACACACTGATAAGCTTTAGCTCAAGATCTAACTGAGGAKATAACTAGGTGAAACTGCCTTGCTGTGGAATCTAGTCTTTTGCTGCTGTCTCTTGTACAACGCACAGCTAACGCACAGCTTTCTAATGTCCTGAATTGGGATTTTCGGGCTTTCTGCATTTTTACTCAATGATTTTAATTAATGCACAAAATTACTGGTAAGAATAAGCCTAAAATGAAACTGCAAGGATTATTTTGCTTTGGGATTATTTTAAGATTAGAAATACTCTTCATCTGAATGTTAACATACGGCATTTACAATTTCAAAAACAAAAGGAATATGAAATTCTTTATTATTTTTAACTTTTTTGTTGTTTTTAATTAAAACTATAAACACTTCACAGTCCAAATTAAGAGTATAACATTCAAAATATTCTAACGTTATAATTGCCCCCCAAAAAATCCAACTTTGAAGTAGTTTTTTCAGACTACAAGCAAATGAAACAAGTAGCTTTGCAGATTCCTGCACTTTTCTTTTTCCAGTATCTCAGTCCCTTCATTTGCCTTGAGGGGAAGAGCGCTCAATAAAGTAGAGCTATAAAGAACTTAATGAAACGTGGTAGTGAAAGCTATTAATCTGATTCAATAGATAAAAAAAAAAGGGGCGGGGGTGTACTCATTACAGAGAGTTTAACATGCTGCATTTGCAATATCTCTGAAACACCCAAAGGACCTACCATGCTCTCTGTGTTTGAATCACAAGAACAAATAATGGCACAGAAAATAATTCATTCATACTCTTTTAATAACTCCATTCTTTTGGCTTCTTACATCACTTTTCTCATTACTGTAAAGTTGTCTAGATGCTAGACTTCATATTTCTAAATATGAAATCTTTTCATATTTAACTGCTAAAATTCTACCTTTTATGACAAAAGCATAAATATTTGAATGTGTACATCACAATCTCATTAGATTTAGTACTGAAAGATTACAAGTAAACACGCTTTTCTGACATCCCCCATTACCTTATCAAGATGAACATACAGATTGTCTGTATCAAATTGAAAAAGAAATCTCATTTTAAATCTTTTTCTGAATTCTACTTGCTTCCCCTGATAAAATACAGGTAATAAGATCTGTCACTGATCATGATTTCACAGAAAAAGGACTGATTTTGGAGTTCAACATATCTCAAACGAAGCACATTTTATTCTSATAACTTCAACCTCAGAAGTCTGAAAGGCAGCTAACTTGTGCTTTACAGACACAGATATCTTTAATGACATTCAATTTTTCAGACAATTTCTACTGAACAGAGTAAAATTATCTTGGAAGAAAAATATCATACATGGCAGAACAACAACTTTGTATATTAAACAACAGGGATACCTGATGAATTGTCCATCAATAAGAAATTGTAGTGGAGGATTTGTTTCATTGCAAATAATACTGTGCTTTTGCTASTGTATTTGTCACATGCAAAATAAATAATTTTTTATGGTTAGCTGGTGAACAAAATAGTCCAAATAATGTAATGAACTTAGTTTTTTGGTATCTAATCACATAAAAAATGATGCTGAAGTGTATTAGGAAGCTTGCACACAGCAAACTAGAGAGCTCCCTTCTCACTACCTCAGTATTTAACAGTTTCAAATACACAAGGCTGAGCTGGAAATAGCTCTCATTCTACAAATCTCTTTAATGTCTCAAGAAAAAAAAATCAGAAAACCATTTAAAAATACATTCATCAGGATGAAAATAATACTTGGAAAGGTTTTTTCTTTGCCTATCTGGAATAAGCATGAGAGTAGGAAAACTTGAATCCAAGCCACTTCAGAGAACCTAATAAATTAAAGATAGAATGCTACATTTATTTTCCTAGCTAATTCTTCAATATGGTTTGGATCAAAGAGATAGAAATACAAATTTAAACCACAGAATCTTGTGGTAATTTCACTGAATCTGATGAGAACATTTTGATTTGTTAGGATATCAGATTAAAAACATGAGTTGAATTTCCATCCCATGCTAGATAGCAGGGTAATTTTATTTACAAATCAGTGCATTACCCAAAGCAATCCAAATAAAGGTCTCTCATAAGCAGGTACTGATCCTAATGTTATAGTTAAATAAGAATTTATTTTAGTATTAGGGAGAATCACTTCAGCTGCAGTGCCTTTCCACCTACTCTTAACTAATTTAGGCTGTTTTAAATTCAAATAATTCCACTAAGTTCACCCTGCGACTCAAAATAACTATACTGGAACATAGGGCAACATATATACAAAAACAACTGGCTGAGAATGTTTGAAAGACGGGATCATTTAATAAGCATTAAATCCTAACTTTTGTATCCATATTTGAACAGTCCCAAGCTATTGCTAACTCTGTTAAGGAACTGACATCAACACAGAAAATATATTCACTAGAATATCTATAGGGTCAACATCTCACTCAATAGCCGTGGTTAAGACTATGCTTGTCTACTCTTTAAAAYGTTCAGTCGTGGGAGGCTGCTCACAAACTTCATCAGCATGAAATAGCCCTTCATATTATACCACAGTCACAGAAAAGACAAGACTTCATAAATGCTGACTGGTCACCTGAACAGAGATAAGCATAGATAGAAAAAGGATTTCTGCACTCCAGGACTTTGATGGTAACATCTGCCACTCTCTTCATGATCATCTAAGTCGGATTTTTGTTTAATGTTGATAAACAGAAGAAGTCATATGCATCTTACACTAGAAATAAAAGTGTTTTTTTAAGAAAACATAGCAAAAGTGGCTCAGAGAGACTATCCTTTTCCCTGCTTCTATGTTTCCATACAAAAATGAGATAGCAGAACTATCATTACTGCACTAGTCTGTCATTCCCAATCTTCTAACTTAAAAGAAATACTAAAGTGCTCTTCAAATGTTGCAAAGATTATTCTGGCTTCTCCCTATTTGTCTTCATACATGTCAGTCTTAAATAACTCTTAAGTGGTTTGTATAATTACACAAGTAATTAGCAAAAACATCCCAGCAAATCTGAATATTAATAGTCAAATATTTATCCCATATCCCCCCACCAAAAATCTAGTTGTGGCTCACTCAGCCATAACTAGACTGCTCACATCATAATGATTGATAAAGTGCAGTTATGAATAATAGTCAATGCCAGAAATACGCTTTACAACATAAAACCAGATGGTCATTTAAATAATATATCTATTACTTCTACAAGATGATGGATCTGATAGCTATCTTGTTGCAGCATTTTGCATCTTTTAGCCATGTTTTCTTGTTTCCCATCTAGGTTTAAAAAAAAAAGGTTCTTTTTCTTTAACTTTCCTAAAAAAAGAGGACATGTTTCATCCAGTCATTCATAATCTGATGGACTGTTCTAACACTATCTGATTGTTCAGCTCTTAGCTCTGAATCACACACTGACATTTTCACTTGTTTGATACTATCCCAGCAGGTTGCCATCTGCTATGTGTATTTCTTCTGCTTCTTTCTGTTGATCATCAATTGCTCTAAGCTATTTTTTCTATCAGGGAATATACTACATGCAAAAGAATCTACATTAGTTTGTTGTACAGCTGAACAAGATCAAGGTTTCCAAAACATTGTTCACAGTAAAGGCATAAATATCATGAAACCCCYCTATTCACATATGCGATACTATGCACAGTATTCTGTCTCAGATGGACAGAAAAGCTATCTGAGAGAGATCCTTCCACACCTATTTCTTGCGAAAGGAAAACATGTGGACCTTAATTGTGTCAAAATAAAACAGGTTGTTAGGTAGAAGGTAGGACGACAACAAGATGACACCTGACTAGATCCACAGCATGGAAGATGCAGCCTAAAAGCACCTTCAACTATCTAACACTCAGTTAYGACCAGCAGTGCAAGGTGCAGTGTGAGCTGCAGGCGGGCATCTGCCAGACAAAGATGGGACATTTCTTTTGAATAAGCTGAAAAGCAGGACAAACCACTGTGCAAGTGTTCACACACAAGACCACAAATACAAATTTATTTCCCCATCTCCTCCCTGCGATAACATGAGGGATAAGTCTTTCTTCTCATACATCTTATATTATGACTTCAAAGGAAGAGATAGAGGCTGAGTTGAGACATACACTTAAGTTCTAGCTCACCCTAAAACTATGAAGCTCAGAGTGCTGTGAAGACATCATGCTTTATTTCTGGGAGAAYGTGAGTATTTAACTCTATTTGGTGAGCTCCTCTAGTATCAAAGAGTCYGGGTACTTCAAAGGGCAAATACTTGAATAAAATGCCTTTTTAAACTCAGTATAGCACAAAATATATTTTTAAGACATGTGAAATCTCTTCTTCTGAAATACAAAATGAGAAATCTTATCTCCTTTTAAAAATGGATACTTCAGTTGTGGACCTCTGTATTATGTATTTTTAATCAAATTCTGTTGGTGGTTTGTAGACTTATTTCCTGCTACTCAGTTACATTAGATAAATATAACTGCAAACGGCTTAAAGCCAAATTATTATTGCACAATATGTATTTTTGAAGCATTGACCACACAGAATCGTGTAAGTGTTGAAAAATCCCTAAGGAATCTGGGAGGAAGAGAGTGTGTATTTGCAAGAGGACAGAGAAGGTCACAGAA